CACTGACAGACTTGCAGACACAGGGCTGCACAAACGTTGAATTGTTAAAGCCAAACCCAACCCAACCTAACCCCCTGCTATGGAGTGCTTGCTGACTCATAGTGAGCGACCGTAGAGCATGGGGTAGAACTGCCCCTGCGTTTCTGAGCCCAAGTATTTGCAGGAGTAGAAAGCTCAGTCTTTGAATGGCTAACAACTTCAAACCGCTGACCTTGTGGATTGCAGCCCAGCGCACAACCACTACACCACCAGAGCACCTTCAATTTGTTAATAAAAAAATAAAACAAAAAAAACCCTCGAAACCATAAAAAGCAGCGTATCTGTGCAATGCAATGAAAATGAGGCATGCCTGTTTTCACTAGCATAGGTGTCTCCTACCAGCTAGGAAAGCATCAGCCTTCCCCAACCAACAGTCTCTTCCGAGACGTTGAAATGAGCCAGGAGCAGCATCCACTCTCACAGAGATGGTTATGCTAAAGACACCAATCTTCGATGTCTTTTTTACTATGTCTCAGAGTTGAGCGAAAGTGGACAAAAAAGCCTGTCCGATTCCTTTTCCTGACTCAGAAACAGGCGTGTTGTGGTACTGGAGATAAGAGTGCTTAACAAAACCTGAACTGTCAAAATACCGATTTACATTCAATATGTAATATGTATTCCAAATACCTTCGTAGGTGAACCAACATGGATGGGGTGGGGTGTAGGGAGCGGGAATCTGACTCCTTGAATGTAGAATCCAACAAGAATAAATAGCTTAAAATACAAATGGAGATTTCATTCACAAGACCATCCTCTTTGGGAAGGAAAATGTATAGAATCTGTGAACTAAGCAATGTGAAAGGCCTCCTGAATTTCAAATGGGATTCTCTGTTTGGCATTTTATCACCCTCGTTGGACCCATCAGAAGTGGAAATGCATTTGCCTTCACCAACAAGTTCTGTGCGGGGGAATGGGTTACATAAATCACAGGTTCCTTATTTCACTGGAAGTCCTTCTTATTTTTTTTTTAAGTAATGGTTTTGATGATCAATCACCTCCTTTTGCATCCCATTCATAAATATCCTGAAATGCTATTATGTTTGAAGATAAGGGATTATATATTTACCTGTATGTTGTACATAAAAGAAGCGATTTTGGGGTCTGAAATGTAAGGGCATTCTAATCCCAAATTCAGAAGAGGGATATCACAGCAGTGCACCAACTGAGAACGGGCTATTTTCCTTTCATCAGCCAGGAAAATCCTGGTCATTTGTGAACGAGAGGAGAGGAAAAGGCACAAAGAGGTTCCCTAACAATCCTACCCCTGCCTCTCATTTTAGAATTTATACTGGTCGAGGCACATGCTCACATTTCTATGAATTTCACATACCACCTGAGTCTACTTCCTTTGAAAATTGGTCAAATTTTCTGGCCAGCAGGCCACAACACAGAGCTGGGAAGCAAATCGACTATTTCAACAAATCAAGCTTAAGTGGGCTGCTTACCTGAGCTAAAGGGCAGAACAGTGGCTTCCTGTCCTGAGTGAATGAACAGATGGGCGCCAGTCTTAGGACAATCTCTCCTTTACTACTCTCTTTTTCTAGGATACCACCCTGTGGTAGTTTCATAAATTCATGAGGATATATAAAAGTGTAGGGGTGGAGTCTAGCCCGTCAATCAGGTCAGCCTGATGAATGCCTCCTTTTGGGTGTGGCCTGCTCTTAAGGAGATTCCTGGGAACCTCCCGCCTCTTGGCTCTGCCTTCCCCTTCCTGCTGGTTGCTGCCAGAGCCCTGGAGATGCATCAGCCACCACTGGATCCACAAGACACTGCACCCAAAGGCCACTGATCTTTCTGCACTCTGCATTATTGCATGCGACTGCATGAGTCTGAAGAGAGACTTGGAACTAGTAACAGATTTATGGACTTCAGCTCGACTGGGCTGGGATGTTGTCCTGAGATACAGTTCTTGGGATAAAGCTCTTTCTTACACATATATAAGTGTCACTGGCTTTGTCTCTCTAGTCAACCCAGCCTAATACACTCCCATCTCCTCCTTTGTGCCTCATGCCCACTTCATTGCATTGTCCATTTGAATTTACCCCATTACCTATATGATACGCTAAGCCTCAAATGACGCCTTCTTCTAGACATAGGTCTCCGTTTCACTTTGGTAAAGTGATGGGCGATACAAGAGATGGCCACTTTAGCCATTACATGCAGTGACCTGCTCAGTGACTTCTCTGAAACAGCAGCTTCCCGCTCAAAACCATTTATTATCACTGTATACATAAGGAAAATCAGATGCTTTGTGGAATTCTTGGGTTTGGTCATCCCTGCAAAATCATCAGTGAGAATGAAAAGTACCCTGGGTCTCTGTAAATAATGTCCATGGTTTCTGCATGGGCATGCTGTGCCAGTACTGGGTTACTAAATGGCATCTTTCTGCGTGCTGGATGTGTGGACATGCTATGTACGTGGGCACAATTAGAAAACTAAAACAAAACAGAAGACCGCAGTTTAAGATGGCAATGCCTTGGTTGCAAGCATTCCTAGTCCCTTACGTGTCACCAGTTCTCTGTTAATATTACTCCCATGTTGCTCCCATTCATACTTCCTATTTATGCCACCCTCGGGAAACTCTCTCCGCAGCACTAGGGAGAAAGGGGGTGGGAGCTCCCAATGACTCTCTTCTCTGGGCCTACTTTGCCTTTCTGCTTCATCCTATGCAATGCGTAAGGGTCTGCTGGTAGACCGTGGGCCAGCCAAGCCAGAGGAGACAGGGCAGTGAAGAGGAAGCTGTGAAGAGCCAGGATCTCCGTTCTCAGTAACAAGACAAGTGGTGCGAGAAGTCACAGAGAAGACAATGACTTTGGAGTGAGCCTATCCTGGATGGTAACAACGCTTCAGGGGAAACCCTGCCAATTTTTACTTACTCTGTAGTGCCCCCAGGAGGCAGGGCTGGCCATCCATTGACAACGTGCCACCTCCTTGAAACTCTAAGAAGTGGTTCTACTCTTCCCACCTGGCATCACCATGAACTGGAATCAACTTGATATCGATGAACAACAACTGTCTTGGGAGCTTCCAAGTGGTTTTAAGCAGTCAGCCTGCTTGATGGTGAATCGACAATGATGAATTCAAGCTTACACTAGGGGACTCTGGAAGAAAGGCCTGGAGATGAGCTTTCAAAAAACCCCAGCTACTGAAAACCCAATGGGCAGAACCAGTGGAAGAGCACGCCCCAGGCCTCTGCAGAAGCCGGGGGCCCTGTGGCTGAGAGGCTGAGAAGGAGAGACGCTTGGCTGCTGGCTGAGGAGAGGGGTTGCTGCAGACCAACAACATCTTTACTTTTTACTGATCCTGACTCATGATGACCTATTAATTTCCCTAGGAAATCCCTTTAACCATGGAAAAAGAAAGAAAACCCTTGGGGGCACCATTCAACTCTGACCCACGTGGAGCCACCATGTCATGGCGTCAACTCTAGGACAACCGGTGTTTTATAAGGGCCTGAGTCCATTCATAAGAGGTAGTCGCACCTGTGTCTAAAAGCCATGAGCTAAGAACTCCAGCAACCTTCACTCAAACCACAGTGGTCTTGTGGTGCACCTAGAGGGTGGCTGTACATGTGGCATTGAGGAAGTAGCCTGATCCTGGAGGACCATGCAAATCTGTTCAATACTTGTGTACGGTTTCACATCCTTGCCACCTTTAGTAGCCTTTGGGGGGAAAAGAAAACACAACTCCTCCAGGATTGGCTACAAGGCCATTTTCTTCCCAATTTTATGCTTCTTTGAGGTAGAATTAATAAGAATTAATAAGAACAGGCCCCATCTATCATGGTTTGTACAGTCACTTTGAAAACGATGGACATTTCTTGCAGTTGAAGAATTACTGGTTATAAGGATACACTTACAGGTAAAAGAGAAAATGAAGCAAACACAAGATAGATGTATTTTGCATTCCAAACAATACATGGCTAATGTGCAGTTGAATAAATCTAGGGTACACCAATATATGAGTGAGAAGTGCCCCCTTTGGAACTTAATAATTGGAATAGATGATTACAACACAAGTTTCATCGACAACACTTTCCAGATCAGATCTTTACCTCACTCATTAGCACCAGGTAGTCAGCCAGTGCTGATAAGCTTTATGTTTCTATATATTTTTTTACCATTCATTATATACAATGTGGTTTAAACAAGAGTGATTTTCTAGAAAGCAAAAGAAAAACACTGGGTTTGAATGAATAATACTGTACAAAATATCCCTTAGGAGGAATACTATGTTCTCCTATGTAGAACTAGATGTTCACTTATTTAAAAAAACAAATATCTTTCCTATCCTTGGTAACTTTCAGTGTCTCCCAGAACAAGAGAGGTAAACTGGTCAGTGGTATCTAGCATAGATTAAAAAATAAAGTTCATCATTTTCCTCCCCTCTCCCTCTCCCACTCCCACTCCCATTCCCTTCCTCCCTCCCTCCCTCCCTCCCTCCCTCTCTTCTTTCTGGTCTTCCTTCCTCCTAGCTTCTCCTCTACTTCCTTATTTTTATCATAGTGATAAACAGAAAAATATGGGATGAATCTACATATTACTAATATGACAAATGATTGATCCGTCCGGCCGTCTATCCGTCCGTCCATCCATCCATCCATCCATCCATCCATCCATCCATCCATCATCCATCCAATTAACCAGCCAGATAAGAAATTTGAATTCTCTCCAGATTGGTGTTACTGAAATAATAAACTGTCTTAAGCCTATGAAAATGGGAAATTTTCTTAAAAATATGAGTACTATACTTCTGAAAATCTCAAGTACAATTTCATCACTTCTTCTCAGATTTGTACAAAAAAGTTAATTTCCTGTCCGATCTTTGCCTGGGCAAGTCTCAATAATATTAAAATAAACCAGCAGTATAGACAAAATTGCTCAAAACACAGTGATATATTTGTCTCTACAGGCACAATCAGTCAAGACTCTATGATGGGCAAGACGAGCCATGTTCTTTACCTGGCGTTTGGAAGTTAAGACGTCTCAGTTCCACGGGATCTGTCGGGTGGTGGGAAGGGGCCTCCTTACTGTTTGGAATGCTGCTCTTTCTAGAGTCGGACTCTGCCCTCTTCCTATAGGGAGAAAAGAGACAATTAAGAATAAAACAAAAACCAACAGAAACAAATTCAGAAGCAAGAATCCCTCACCCAGGTTCACAGTTTTAAAACTTTTCAGCTCGCTGACTTTGTGACCTTGATCATGATAGCGCGTCCTCATGCTGAGGATTTTAGCTTAAGTAAATGCCATGGGAGTCCTCCTTCAAGGTGTCATGTTAGTAATTCAGTAACTCTGCCCTTGGTACTTAAGGACGGTGTCTATGATCTGTACTTACAGCCTTTTACATCCATTCTCTCTTAGTCACACTGTCTAATCATGGGGATCTGGGTACAGTTCTTTAAGTAGCCAGTACTAAGATGTCTGTTACCATACAGAAAATCTCTGAAAGTACTTGACCTACAATTGATTAGTGAAATAAGCCCTCCTGGTCCCTTTCTGGGTCACTGATGGATAAAGAATAGAGATGGGCTGGACTTTCTCAGAAGGTAGCTAAATCATGAGGGGTCAGGTCATCGTAACACCTAAGACTTAGGACCACACAAAACCACCACCCGTCCTTTCCAAATTTCAAGGTACGGGGGGAGTGGGGGGTAGTATGGATTGGTCATGTTGTTAAACTAACTATGATTCATATTTTATTAATAAAAGTGAGTCACAGAAAGATCAGATAATGAGTAATTTAACAGTTAAGTCCTATGCTTCAGATCTATGAACTATTCACAGAGCCTGGTTAAAAATATGACTACTTCACACAATCCATTTTAACTTTATTTTTAAAAGCTATCATCTAGCTTTATTAAAGACACTTGTTTAAACTGTCACATTACAATGTTAACAAATGTCTACGCAAGAAATGTCAGATTTGTTCCTGGGATTTCTTGAACATCGTTTTCCCCTGCAAACACAAATAGGCCTAGTGATAGCTTATTATTTTCCTCTAAGCTGAACTAGATGAAGATCCTATGTAACAAATGGCAATCTTTCTCCAGCAGTGAACTCATTCCAAATATTGATTCCGACAATCTCCAGGCTGAAGTCAGAATCATTGCTACTCGCCCCAACGCAATGCAAAGGCCTTCTCAGCTGGGGACCTGTTCAGAAGCTTCCCCATCTCTCTTTTCAATATGGCTACGGCCCAGTTCATTAGTGATGCTGTGGCAGCGGGCTCTCACTCAGTGCCACCGAGGTCATTCTCTGGGTAGCCAGAGGGTTCCTGTTACATAGCTTTTCTTTCCACTTCCACTCGTCTATATAAAGGAAAACTAAGGCTGGAATGAAGGGAACATTGATGCCATTTGACTTACTCCAGTGCAATGCCTTCAGGAAAACCACCTGGAGGAAATGAAATTTCTTGAATGAGTCTTATCAGATGCTTTCCCTTCTCAGGGCCTTGAATTCACACATCTCAGGCTTTCCTGCTTCTACCGGAAGGACTCAAGTCCAGCCTTAGGACACCAAGTCCTACCTACCAAGCCGTACTACGAAGCAGAGGTGAGTGGTGCAGTGGAGATGAGGCCACAGGGCTGGGATGCTCCAGTTGTGCCGGGTGAGAACAGGAAGAGGAGGGGGAAAGCGATGAGGAGCCGGTGAGAGAGACACAGGAGGAAGAGAATGGGGGGCAGGTGACCAGCTCCAGAGGAGACGTGTCCTTGTGCTCCTGACAGATTCAGTTGACCCTCCCTAACCCCCCCCTCCAAAAAAACCCACTGCCATTAAATCAAATCTGACTCACTGTAACCCTAAATATTCATTGACCCTCCCCCAAGCCCCCCCGGAAACTGTAAAATCTAAATGGTTTAACAGACAGCATTGCATGGGGCTGGTCAGTCAACTGTCTTCTCAGATCAAGAAACATGCTCAGGTCTGAGTCTGTTTCACCGTCCAGTGTCCCTAGCCAAAGGCCAATGACTCCAATCTGGGGTTTTCTCCCTTATTTCTCTTCCTGTCACTTTCTCTGATAGCAAGATCGTTGGAATTCTTCTCTTAAGCTTCCACAGATAGGAGTCTCAGACAGTCCAGAGCTTGAGATTAACATTGTAATTCACACTTAGAGCGACTTTTGGGAGGAGTGTCTTCACCCTTATGAATGACCATCTCCTTCATTCTGTCTGCTCAATGAAATGATCCCAAAGACCATAGCTCCACCCTGACCCCTGACCCTAATCAGTTGGCAATTCCGGCTGTTTAACTCTGATTTTGTGGAGTTCCTTCCGACGATCACAATACGTGCAGTTCTGATGCTCACCTTCCAACCCTACGATGTGTGAACATACAAGGGCTAAAACGGCGTTATCCAAGACAGAAAGAATCACTAAGAAAAGGTTTGAAGTTAAGTTAAATGTCATGACTACATTTAAGGCTCGTAAAGAGTAAAGCTGCTGCCAGGATTAAATGGCAGCCAATCATCTACATTAGGGCAAACGTGGTTTCAAAGAGTACAGTTTCTCCTGATCCTTTTTCAGAGCCCTCGTTTGAATTTTTTACTTAGAAAAATGCCAGGCATAGTGACTAAAAGCAGATTGTGAACTTGGCATACTTGTATCATTTACTACCCCCTCTCCCCTTCTAACAATGGCAAACCCCAATGCAGTTTCTTTTCCATGGTGAGAGGTACCTGTGCAGGGTTGTGCGTGTGCAGGGTTGTGCATGTGCAGGAAATGGAAGGTCCTATGACATTTGAGACTTTCCAGGAATTGCTAATAGTATAAAAACGTGGGGGTGTTGGGGATGTGGCTAATATGCAACAAAAGCTGCTCTTTCTTCCAAGGGGTATTTTATTTTTACCTATTCTCAACTGGTGTCTCCTCTCGGAGCACTATAGGAAGTAGAAGCAATGGGAGGTCATATTGGATGGAAGGCTTCTCACGAAAGTTCAAATTTCTTGGAAACTATCGATGGCATAGCGAGTTACACATCGGGCTGCTAACAACCCGTTTGACACCAGGTGACCCAAGGGAGAAGGATGAGGGTTTCTACCCCTGTAGAGATTACCAGTCTTGGAAACCAGTTCTATCCTGCCCTGTACGGTCTCCACCAGTAGAACTTTACTCAATGGCAGTGAGTGACGATTAATATTCAAAGATGCTAATTCATACCTGTCAGGGTTCTGACACCATTCAAAATGGAAACCCAGTTCAGCCGCCATGGGCATGTACTACCTTGAGGAGGCTACGCTAACTCTCGCCTCAGATTCTTCACCTCTGTACACTGAGGAGGGTTAGAAGATGATGTTTCCCTTGGGCCCAACCCTACCATCTTAGATCCATGATGGCACTGTTGTGAAACTACTGGACTGCTAAGTGCACAGCTGATGCTGCAAACACCGGACTCGTTCTGATGGAGAAAGATGAGGCTATCTGCCCGTTAAGGGTGTCTATGAGCCGGCATTGCTAAATGGCAATGATTCCAAAATCTCAGTAGAACAAGAAGGCAGTGATGAAGCTGTAGTGTCTGGACAGTGTTATGAAAGGTGGGTCTCTACTCAGATGAAGTGAGTTCATAGCTGTTGTCTTTGGGCTGGAAAAATTGTTTTTGCACATGTTCTTTTCCAGGATAAACGGGAACTAGTGATGTTGAATAGACACTTGTCCATCAGCTTATCTTACTGGGGTGGCTTGCTTGTGTGCTGCTGTGATGCCGAGAGCTCTGCACCAGGATCTCAAATACCAGTAGGGTCACCCCTGGTGGACAGGTTTTCAGCAGCGTTTCCAGCCTGAGTTAGATTAGGAAGATGGAAGAGGTGGCCAATTTCTTAGAGTAGCCATTGAAAACCTTATGAATAGCAGTGGAATATTGTTTGATATGATGCCAAACGATGGGGTCCCTGGGATAGAAAGCATGCACAATTCGACTGGGGAAGAGCTGCCACTCAATGTAGAGCCAACCCTAATAGATGTGCGGTGAAGTAGAGGCTCGTGAAAGAGAGGACGCCCCTCCAGGAGATGGATGGACACAGCGGATCTAACACTGGGCTCAAGCACAGGAAAGATTTAACGAATGGCTTGGGAGGGGGCAGTGTTTCATTGTTGTGCAGAGCATCTTCACGAGCAGGAAATGACTTGATGACACCTAAGAGGGACAGCAACCATGACAAAGTGATGGCCATGTGATAAGGTGGCCTTTCCTGGAGACTGAGGCTTGTTGAGTAGCATCAACTGGTTTGGAGGAAAAGCAGGCAGCAGTGGCTCTCACACTGTCGCATGGCTCAGAATGACATGGGCAGACGACTGACATACAAACTGCTGGGTCCTGGTCCAGAGTCTCTAGTTCAGGAGACCTGGAGGTGGGGAGGCGGGGAAGCGGGTGTGGGAGCTGATGATGTTCATTTCTCACAAGTTCTCAGGTGTTGCTGCTGCTGCGGGTGGGGGTCTAGGAAAGCCACCCTTGAGCATCACCACTATTCAGTCCAAGGAGGAAGGCGAGCAGGATGAACTTCATCAACCTTTTCCTTCTTAATTTTTTTAATCCAGGGGAAAAAATATATGGACACACACACACACACAAAAGAGCTTTGAACAGTTAGTGAAAGAATTACATTATATTTAAACTCAATTTTTCCTAGATGTTTTTTGGAATCCTTTGGTGTGTATATATATGTATGAACATGTAGGTATATGTACATATATATGCATACAGAGAAGCAAATGTACATGTCTATGAGTGTGTGTGTACACAAGAAGGTGAGTTTGGGCCAACCAGCAATAACCACTTGATTCTAGCTTATTATTATTGGTATGATTCAGCGCTAGGAGACATAGGAGACGACTTTTAAATTTGATAATAATCTCAAATTTATACTGGCAGGGTGCAAGAATGATAGCAGATAGTATTGCTATAGAGCAGTGGTTCTCAACCTTCCTAATGCCGGGACCCTTTAATACAGCTCCTCATGTTGTGGTGACGCCCCCCCAACCATAAAATTATTTTTGTTGCTATGTCATCACTGTCATTTTGCTACTGTTATGAATCGGGCGACCCCTGTGAAAGGGTCGTTCGACCCCCAAAGGGGTTGTGAGAGACTCATAGGTTGAGAGCCCTGCTATACAGAGAGGTGGCCCAAGGCCACACTTGAAAACAAACTAATCTCCCGTCAAAAGAGAACTAAATGAGTAAGGTGCACAGCACACCTGACAGGGACGTTCCGCAGACACGACACACAGATGTTGACTTCACCCCAAACACAACTCTGACGCTGCTTGTGACTAATAGGATTTATAAAAAATAAAAAAAAAACTGGTTCTTCTTAGAGACAAAATGAGGTATTTATTTTTTCCAAAATCTAACTACTTATTGAGCTCTCTAATCTGTCTGAATATACACATTTTATCCGTCTTTCTGCCAGCCGCCATCGTTCGTCTCCAGCCCCCACCCTCCCGCTCCTCAGTTGCTCAATGTCCCCCGGGTGCTGGTGCTTTTCCTTAGGGAGCATTTCAGGGGGTCCGTTCTCTACTCCTCACCTGTCAGGTTTACTGCTCCATTTTAATGCAGCAAAAAGGGAAAAAGAAAGGCTACATGTTAGTTGGCCAATGGTAAGGAGAGTAACCATGACAACCAAGATGTAAGAAAACAGTGCTCACAAGCGAGGACACACAACTGACACACACTCATAAACGACAGCTTGTCCACACAGTGCACGGCTTCTAATCCCGAGCTCATCGGGACGTGAGGGCTTGGTGCCCAAGAAACAATTCGTTGTCTTTCTCCCTCTTTTTTCTTTTTGTGAGTTCATGTCACATTCACTTTATCCACCATCTACAGAATAGTGCCATGATGACCTTACGTACATCCCAGGAGGTGCTCAATGCCAAGGATAATTTGATTTTTAGAAAACACGCCATGGGAAGGGGAAAAAACCCAACAACAACAACAACAACAACGAAACACCCTACAAGTAATGTCCTTTTAATGAGAGTACAGCATTGTTTCTTGCATGGTACTGATTCATTGAAAATAAAAAGTTGTCAATGCCAAGACACACGATCTCTTTTAAGTGAATTAAGTAAATAACCTGCACATTTTGTGGAGCTGTGTACACACACATACACACACAGAGCATGTGAACAATTGTCTAATCTATGACCGACCACTTAGTAAAGTGGCAGAGATGATTTCTTCAAAGCCCTCTTGAAAAAAAAAGGTAATCAAGACCTTCTTTTTTCTTTTAATATCCCCAACAGAGGCTTAAAAACATTTCACTTTTCCAAAAAGAGCATCCTCAACGCTGTTGAGTCTGCAGAGCTCGGCTGGTCTCCAGCCAGGTAGATTCAGAAAAGCAGCTTGTGGCCAGCCTTTGCCATGAGACAAGCTTTCCTCCCCAAAGAGGTGCTGCAGCCTGCGACTACGTCTCCCACCTGCTGAGAGACGTTTTCATCTGGAGTAACACGTGGGCCGCTGAAATAACCATGTCCTTTTGGCAGAAAGCCTATCAGTCCCCGCAGAGGGATTGAGCTAAGCCATCACCACGCTGAGCATTAAGTGAGTTCTCAATTTCCAGAAGACAGTACTAAGTCTTCTATCGTGCCAAAGTGGTGGAGAAGGCAGGCTTGGCGGGCACATCTGGCTGCAGAAGATAATCCAGTCCATCTCATGCCCACACGCGAAACCCACATTGCAATGGCACAAACACACAAAGTGCACAGTGAACGAGAACGAAGATCCCATGCCCGCCGCTTCATTCTTTGCATCCTGACATTGAAAATGATTTACCTAGTGTGTTAGGGTTAAAACAACCTACCTGCTGCTCACCTGCTCCCTTTTAAAGAAAAAAAAATGAAGTGATCAGTGAGTCAGTGGTAACTAAGTCTATTCTTCTGAGGGAGGGGAGAGCCACTAATGGACCACATTGTCAGGTGTGTGGACTGGAGGGATGTATTTGGATGAAGGGGTGCATCATTAGGTCACCACTCACCCCCTCTTCCATAGAAATGCCAGCCTCATCTGACACAGGGGCACATTTTCAGCACAAGTGTGGAGGCTCTGACAACTGGTGAAATGAAAGAGGAGACTGAGGTTGTATGAAGGGTCTTGCTGACCAAGTTGAAGGTGGCATGGCACAGCTAAGAATACATATTTGTCTAATGCCGCTAGACTGGTTTTCTCTCAATTAGTTACTACCCATCTGTGCCAGGCCCTCTGTGAGGCACCCAGGGACCAGTAAGAAATAACACAAAGTTCTTGATCTGCAGTTGAGCGGGGCAGAAAGGCAAGGAAACGAAGAAACAGTTCTACGATGTTGATAAATAAGCAAGGGCTTTGGGGGCATCAGAAAGGGGAGGCTATGGCAGCCTGGGGAGGCAGTGGTGAGGCAGGGGCAGAACTATAGACTGCCAGGCAGGAGATCGGGGTTCAATTCTAGGCCAATGCAACCCATGCAAAGCCACCAGAAGGCTGGCAGTGGAGTTTTGCATGTTGCTAAGATGTTGAATACATTTTTCCCCCTCAGCAGTACTTCCAGATTAAGACAAACTAGGAAGTAACATGTAGCCATCTACTAAGTATTAGCCGATGGAAATCCTATGGATTACAACAGCTGGTGTTTGTTACGAATGAGGCGGCCATAAGTTGGGGGATAATCATAGCAACAAGATGGTCTAGACCTGTAGAGAAGAGGGGCGGGAGAAGAGGAGGCACCCACAAAGGCCTTCTTTATCAGGCAGTATCTTCCCTTACTTGAGTTCATTAGCCAGACCAGGATCAGAGGTAGAGGCAGGCCAGCAAGTCTCTGCAGGCTGAGAGATTCAAAATCAAGAGCAGAAGGCAGAGATGGCATCGCCCACTGCGGCTGCTGGGTGGGTGGGGGGTCCCCAGGGGTTCACAGCATCATCAAGACATCCTTGGCCATACATGCTGGGGTGATATACCGAGAGAAGACCACCTAGGCCAAGTCTGCAGAAAGCCAGTGTTGGAGCTGAGAACAACGGAAAAGTCAGAAGCCCGTGTTTGAGTCAGAGTTCCTGGGCGATGCGGAGTTAAGTGCTAGCTGCTGACCAAAGGGTTGGAAGTTCAACTTCAAACAGAGGCCCCTTGGCAGAAAGTCCTGGCAGTCTAGTTCCCCAAAAAGAAAGCCCTGGAAACCCTACGGAGGGATGCCTCCAGGCATAAGTGACAGCAGGGCAGCCGGTGAGTTCATCACACAGACCTCGTGGCCCTTATCGGTAAACCACGGTTGGGGCTGGGATGATTTATTCTTTCCACCACACCCATGCTGGTTTTAAAGGACTCCCACCCAAGGATGCTGCCTCCATCTAGGCCAAGTCTCAAACCTCCCTGATGTCCCAATCCACTCTTTCTGTATTTCCCTTGAATCCAGCCAACAATTCCCATCTTGTAATGTTGTTCCCTAGAGCCAGGCTAGCGATTTGTTCTTAAATATCAACTTTCTGTGGCTATATTTCCTGGAGCGTTCTGGAACTCACTGCTAGAAAGCCTGGCATCTGTAACAGGTGGACCGAATCGATGGCTATCTAAGACGATTCAATTGCTTTGGGGATGAGGATTATCATCCTTGGTGCTTGCTGATCAGTGAAAGGCAGCCTGGAGCCATATTTCAAACAAAGCACACCACATCACAAGCGGATACACAGACACTCCCAATCTATTTACTGCCTTTTCGGGTTCTAAGAATACCAAATATCAGTACTTACAATATTCCAGGATCTAATTAGACAACCTATGTCCTCATTTCCGAAGTGTGGGATGACTGAGGCCCCAGGGCCTGGGGCCTGCCCTGGCTTGCTGCCCTACAGATTTTGCTGGTCACAGAATGTGAACCAGAATTCAAGTGTACGGACTCCTCATCCAAAGTTGTTCTAAGTCTGGCTCCCACTTGATCTTTGTCCACTGTCAATTCTTAAATCTCGGTGCCTTATATAGATCGAGCACACAATTGCAGAAACCGGAGTGCCAGATAATTTTGGACACCAAAGACCTACCAAGAAGAATGTACTTTTCTGATCAGGCGGTACTTCAGAGTTCTACCAATCCTCAGTGATGTAATTTAATTGCTGATTATTCAGGTCTCAAGGGCGTACAAATGTCTAGGTTAAGACAGAGCCAAACAAACAGAATGCCAGATAAAACAGCACAGCACACTTCCCTATTAACATAACGAAGAGTAAGTTTCGAAGTCTCATTAGATACCTTAATATGCTTCCTTGCATGGATAAACTATTCTTCTGTGGTTACAACTTGTTTACCTAACTCAAGTGTTTCGTAACAGGTACCTAGGCAAGAGGGATTACTAAGAAAACTCATTCTCTTCTCAAAACAGTACTCGCAGATAGGATGTAAAATACTTTTTAACAATAACCATCTTGATGATGATAAAGCTAATTCTGGGTTAATGGCCTGTGTATAAACTGAGAAGCACCTGAAAAGAAGGACTGAATATTTATTACATAATTAATTTTGTTCTGAATCCAGGCTTTAAAAGCCACTATTCACTGAGTACAGAAGACTTCCTCTGGAACAGCCTCATGGTAATCAAGAAGGACATTGTTGGGTCTACTTGAATTTCAAGTCAGGAATGTTCTTTACTGCTGAAGCCAGCATTTCTATTTCAGCAATGTTTCATGGGCCCTCAGATGGCTAGCTAAATATACTGAGCACGCGAGGGTGTGTGCATTTCCGTACGCACACAGGAAAATGCGATTCTCTTTTCGCAAAGCCTTCAAACACAATGCCGCATTTTCAGGGTTTAGGGGAAAGTGTAACTGTTTTTGAAGCACAGGCAGATTGAAAAAAATGGACACAATGATAAATCTTAAAAAATACATGATTCATGCCCTCATCCGATTTCTTCCTATTTGCAAAACAGATTCAGAGATGCGGAGTGCATCTGTGGCAAGGGGCATCACTCGAGATATCCAGAGATGTGGGCAGGAGGCACAGCTTGAAAAGGAAGGCAGAGCTCCGCCCATTTTGAACCATCAGAGAAGGTCACCCGCCAGAGTTCAGACAGGAAGTGTCAACAGGCCCTGGTGTTCCAACCTGACTCCTGCTGATAGGGGGTGATACCTGAAAAGAGAACTCTACCTTGGCATTGTATGATTGGGAAATAAATAAGAACCAGAACTGCCAAAGGCACTAACTCCTGCCTGGACACCAACACCCCTTACTATTCTGGGAGGGAGGTACGTGGTGCCTCCAGTCCTCTCCTGGTACATGAGAGAGAGGAGGGCTCGGCCAAGGCCTCCTCAAGATGCAATGTATGAAGGCACCGAGGTAGGAGGACTGCAACCATCTCACCAAAGGAGGCTTTGGCCTTCAACCACCAGCCTTTTCAGGTGTTTTTCTGGCTAACTGAATGATGGCACCCATTAAGAAATGATAATGATGGATATTTCCTTTATTCTCTCCAGCTCTAAAAGAGGCAATTTAATGGGCTATGGTTATGAACATTCTCTCATCAGTTTTTCCCCCCTAAATATACTCTTCACACCAGAATAAATGAAATACAGCCCCAGAAAAGAAAACTTTTCAACCAGAAAGTGTTTAGAAGGGTTTTTTTGTAAATCAAGGAAGAGTATATATATAGATATAGATATAGATATATATACTGTATGTACTTGAGTAAAAGCTGATCTGAATATCAGATGAGGCACCTAATTTTACCACAAAACTGCATTAAAATGTGCTGAAAAACTCAGCTTGTACATGAGTGTATACAGTAGATAAAAAAGTTCAGGTATATAGGAAGACCATGTTTAAGAAGGTATGGGGCAGAAAAAAATTAATATAAACCCAATGGTGCAATCACAGAAACGAGAAAATAAGGTCAAACATTGATGCAGAATCAACATGAAGACATTTCGTTAGATTTTGAAGTCCAAAATTAAGGAGCAAATGAGAGAGAGAAAGAGAGATACTGAAAGAAGCTTCTTTTAGTGAAAGTGAGAGATAGTTTTAACAGCAGATTCAAAGAGTTATCACACTACCAGTGGAAAATTAACATAGAGATTAGAGTTTTATGCAAGTAAAATTTGGTAAAAGTTGATGTCAAGGGAGGCTATTTAGGGTGTATAGGATTTAGTTATTTAAAAGATTTAAACTGTTTTGTAAATGTGCATCGATATAATTTTACAATTAATACTTTTAAAGCCAGGATATATGTAGGCAGTGATGGGGGTGGTAAAGAATTATGAATTGCCGCTATTCAACTGGCAAGGAAATAAACTGGAAAATAACATCTTGCTTATATATAATGGAGGCTGACAGTGATTGGAAAAAAAGAAGAAAAAGAAAACCAGAAGAGGTGGGGTAGATTCCCATTATTTCCATCCCCAAGCCGTCCAAAACACCAAGTTACAGTGGAACTTGACACTCTAAAGATTAAGGTTGTATGTTCCTACAAAGGAAAATCATACCTTGCTTCCCCCGGCCTCCCCGTCTTTGGACAAAATGGAGCCCTCACTCTATTAAAGAGATGGGATAAGGGACGGAAGACCTGAAAAGAACAGACAGTCCATTCTCCTCCTCTTCCTTCTCTTTTCCCATCCTTCTGATTTTATAGCTACTTTTGAGAAATAGCCACAGGGGAAAAATTCTCAGCACATGTACACCTTATGAAATGGATACAAATGTGCACAGTGGTCATTGCTGCCAAAAATCATGTTGAAATGAAGAAACAACATTAGAAACCAGAAAATGCAAGCTTGAACAGAAATTACCTCCTTGTGGGCTTTTTAATATCTCAATTGACATGACAAGTACATGGACTGCCTAAAGATGGTGAGTGGGTGGAATCCCTGCATGCTGGACCATAAAGAGATGCCACCTGTTACATACAACTTAAGTAGCTCAGTCTTTATATTAAGCTTCTACCTCAAAATGGAAATAGAAATGGGTTGGAGCACTGCTACTCTAATCAACCACACCATGAACATAGAATGGTTATCAAGTCTCCACAGGAGTGCTGGGCAAGCCTACCTTTTATACAGAAGAATAGCTATGACAATGCAGATGATAAAGACCACTGCCAGGACAGGGCCAACAACCCAGATCAAGCCTTCCTCTTCATCTGTGATCGGCTGTGGATCCAGATCCATGGACACCACGGGGTCCGAGTAGGGACTGGCGGCATACATCTTCTGCGGAAAAAGAGAGTCTGTCTCAGTTCTAAAATAATGGCTTTCAAAAAAATAGACATACATCAAAGAACAAAGTCAACATTTTTCACATAGCCCTTTATGCCTTTGTTAATTAGCACTCACCCAGTTCTGTCTCTTCTATCTATGCATATATTTTATTTGCTTGAATGAGTTAATAACAAATTCCTGGAAGGTGAGGGTTTAGATTCCACATGGTTTCTTACGCTTAGAACAAAGTTTTGCAGTTACAGAGTGCTCAGCCAAGTATTTATTGACTAAGATAAGTAGTTCATCTTTTCAAATGGCTAAGACCATCAGGACATGAGAGCATTATCTTCATTGTCAATGGAATTTTTTTTCCTCGATTGGGATTTTCAGAAATTTAGATTAGCATCTATTTTCTGAACTTGAGTACAAATGCTTCACTGTCTATCTTTAGATTATAGGCTTCCTTGGCAGCTGGCATACCACCCTTTCTTCCACTGGAAAAGCCAGTGACAGGGAAGCTGTGTCCACAGAGAAAACACTTGACCATTCTTTTTTTATTTATTATGCCCAGGAAGGAAACAACCAGAAGCTTCCAAATGGCTCAAGAGATGACGAAAATGTAGGTCTACTCCCAAGCATCCCCCAAACACCTTCAACAACAACAAAAATGGGAAGCACACCCAAGCATACAGCATAAGACTTCCCCCAAAGGTCCTGACAAGTTGACTGTGAATCTGAGAATATGCTTTTTCATTTGTTTGCTTGGGCTCATATTTTCTATTTGCAATTGGGAGGTCCCACGCAAACGGTTCAGGAGACAGAAGCAAAACTTCCTGCTCTGAAATTCTTTACCAAGAGACAGAGCATCATCTGGGTCCTCCGAGATGGCAATCTAAACACATTTTCCCCAAAACACCAGAGGCATTTCCATTCCCACCCGAAGCAGGAAGCACATGGAAATGAACGATCAGAAAACCATGGATACCAGCTTAATGAAAAGTGGGGTTTGCTCAGCAGTAGCGGGTAACAGAAAAGCTTCCTCCGTTTTGTGTCATATGCTGTCAGGTATCTCTGAGTTAATTCCGACTCATAGCAACTCCACGGCCAACAGCTGGAACCACTGCCAACTCATTCCCGCATCCTCTTCATGACTGTTCTTGTGCTGGACCCCACTGCGGCAGCCACCGCGCCTGTCCATCTTGTCCAGGGACTTCCTCTTGTTCACCGCCCCTCTGTTCTAGCAAGCAGTTCTTCTCCAGGGCCTGGTCTCTCCTGATCAGATCATATCGCCAAAGTAGGTGAGAGGAAATCTCCCCTTTGTTCCAAGGAGCATTCTGGCTGTACTTTGTACAGTATGTATTTGTTTGCTCGTTTGTCAGTCCAAGACACTTTCAATGTTCTTCGCCAGCACCATCATTCAAATGCACCCATCCCTCTTCAGTCTTCCTTCTCCATGCCCAACTTTCACACGCATATCAGGCAAGTACAAATATCGTGTCTTGGGTCAGGCGCACCTTACTCCTCCAAATGGCATCCTTGCTTTTCAACAGTATAAAGTGGTCTTGGGTAGCAAACTCAGCTAATGCAATGCATCATTTGACCTCATCTGCTGCTTCCATGACCAATGATTGTGGATCCAAGCAAGATGAAATCCTTGACAACTTTAATATTTTCTCAGTTCATCATATTATCGACAGGTCCAGTTGTGAGGATTTTGGTCTTCTGTACATTAAGTTGTAAACCGTATTAAAGGCTGTGATCCTTGATCTTCAGCAGCAAGTACTTCAAGCCCTCTTCAATTTCAGCAAGCAATGTTTGTTATGTGCCTATCGCAGGCTGTTAATAAGCCTTCCTCCAATCTTCATGCCACAGTATTCTTCACATACTCCAACTTTGGTGATTGGCTCAGCACACAGATTGAACAAGTATGTTGAGAGAATACAACCCAGTCACAGACCTTTCCTGATTTTAAACCATGTAGTTTTCTGTGTTCTGTTGCCACAACTGCCTCTTGACCTATGTACAGGTTCTTTATGAGCATAAGGAAGTTCTGGAATTCCCATTCTTCTCAAGGCTACCCGAAGTTTTGTGATCCATTAACGTATGTACTCGTGTATAAGCCAAGTTTTTCAGCACATTTTTAATGCAGTTTTTGTGGTACAATTAGGTGCCTCTGCTGATATTTTGGTCGGCTTATACTTGAGTATATATGGTAATCGAATGCCTTGGGATAGTCAATGAGACATTAGTAAACATCTTTCTGGTATCCTCTGCTTCCAGCCAAGACCTATTTGACGTCATCAATGATATCCTTTATTCCATGTCCTCTTCTGAATCTGGCCTGAACTTCTGGCAGCTCCCTGTGAATGTACTGCTGCAACCATTGTTGGATGATCTTCTGCAAAATTTTACTTGCACGTGCGGTCAGTGATATTGTTCTACAATTTGTGCATTAAATTTTAGATCATTCTAGAGTAGGTCTCTGATATTCTTAATATGAGGAAATGGGTTGGGAAATTTTGGGGGAGGTAGGTTGTGAGTCTTAATGGGGGGTATTTTCTCTTTGCAAATTATCCATTCACCCTTGGAGAGGTTGAGCATTTGTTATAAACTATCAGTCATGTGTCGGTTTAGCTGTATAGTTCAATATATAAACTTTATAGATTTTAACTTATTATTGTCTGGTGGGTGAAAGTTTACTGTTTTAGTTCAACTAATCATATATATGCATTTTGTGTCATTTCATGGACGGGCAATCCCACCACAACAGCACTTGGCCCACTTCATCTGCATGTGTCTGGTTCCCATTCCGCCTGGTGCCTAGCCCGCTGAGGCCGCCAGAAGAACTCTGCTCCCTTTGACAGTCTATCGGCTGGATGAAGACCTCCTATCACACACAAGCTGGACTGAAAGCCCCTAGGAAAGCACACACGTTCTGAGCCATGAGAGCAATGTGGAGCTATATGGAAGCGCAAACGGGCAATTGAGATCCCAGGTTGGGAAAAATCATCCTACTCATAGTCAGCGAAGCAGTGAGATGGCATGCAGTGGGGAGGGGTGGACTCTTCATCAAGGCTGACGGACGGCAGGCTAGTGGGGGGAGTCTCCACTGGAGGGAGAGTCAGCGCCAGTGTCTGAGAGTGGTATCCTCTGCCTGAATCACATATGATTTCTCTTATTTGCCGGATCCTCTGATTTACCTCAATGTTTTCAACGTGCTTTCAAAATGTTCCTAGTGCTGCTTAAGCACAATTCCTCTCAAACATCTAAAAGTTCTCAAAAAAAGATGATATCTAGCATTCCATACCCTTGATGTTCTGCTTTTCAAACCTTCCACGAGCAAGAGAAGGCACACTTGTGCATTAAACATTTCCGGAAACCTGCCACTCCCTTTTCAAATGACATCCTGTGCAGACATGCACGCCAGGCAGAAAGGCTGCCTCTGTGTTTCCATTTTCCGCAGGGGAATCCTTCAGTCACCTGAAGAGAAGCCCTCACTTGATGTGCCAACAGCTGACGTGGAGACACCATTGATAATCACAGACTTCTCAGGCACCAGAGGGCTTGGCTGGGCTGTGTCTGTAAGATGTAGGCCCAGCTCCAAAGATGTACTTAGGGTTGTGTGTATTCACTGTCACAGTGAACGGACACTTCAGAATCCAATCCGCCGTTCCCACCCACAGTTTTCTGTTTCTCTCTGAGCTCGCTCGCTCTCTCTTATTTTAAACATTTAAAGTGACTCAAGCATAAAATGACACAAGAGCAAAATGAATTACATGCAAGAAGATAACTCATTATTTAGAGTACCTCAGGAACTCTCCATTTTATTGAATTATTTGCCAACTTTCTGAGCTCCTCACAGATAAAATCACTCTTCAAAATGCTACAATTGCAGAAGCTGGCTCTGCCGGCTGCCTCTTACACAGACCTTCCTCCTGAAGCTGGGTTGGCAACAATGAGAGCTCAACAGCAGTGAAGGGGGAAAAAATACCTCCACCCTCGGAGTCTGAATGTCCAAATTCCTGCACGTATACTCCATCGAATTCCAAAACTTGTTGGCTTCCAGTGTTATCTCATGAGCAGATCTCAATCAGATACTACCCAAGAAGATGGCCTTGCTGCTAGGTGCCATCAAGGTGATTTTCTGCTCATCGTGGCCCTCTGGAACAGAGCAGAACTGGCCTCCTAAGATATCCTAGGTTGAAACTTTAGTGACATCAGATTAGCACGTCTTCCTCCTGCACACTGTCCAAACTATGAACCCATGCACTTAGCCACTGCGCTCTCTATACCTGCCTTGGCAGGCCTCCTGACTCCTTCCGGAACAGTCAACCTTCCAAAATAAAAAGTGAGGAAGGAGATTGTGGGCAGAGATGTCGATCATCGTGCTCCAGATAGGTGTCCTCTATCTCTAGAACGATGATCCATCAATTTGACAGTCCAAGTATGAGCTATCACCTAAATGCCATGACTGCAGATATCATGTGGGTGCTACAGTCTCAAGAACATACTAAAAAAAAAAAAGAAAGACAGCAAAAGAAGATACTCAACAACGCTCAAAGTGAAGGCAGCACATTAGGGCATTGCCATGAGTGGGAGCTGAGGAGAAAGACTTGGGACGGAGTGTCTGCCCTCCATCGTCAGCACATGCCACAAGCAGATGTCATCGAAAGGGACTTACAGACTCGGCATGCTCCATCACTGCCAACACAAAGAAGACATATTCTTGACCGCTTTGGAGCTGCTTATTTGTGAAGCCACCATAATGCTTGTCATCCCCCAGGGTGAACTCCGTCGGAAGGACATCAAAGTGAGCAGCAATGTATGGCTTTAATTCAACTTCTCTCCCATAACGGATGCTTCTGCGCTTCCTAGCTATCTCCTTAAGCAGCTGAAGGGAAAAGCAAAAGAAGGGGAAGCAAAAAGAGCAATGTAAACAGCAAGAACTCAAATTATCGACATTTGAGCAGTAGAAATGAATGCAGATCTGGGATCATCTGTCCACATTCCATGTGGTACATCAGCAATATAATGATCCCCTAGATCATTCCAATGATCCTTCCTGTTCAGGCAAGGTACTGGACCAATACTGCAAGGCCCAGGGTAGAAACACAGGGCAATTAGATCCTTGGTTGGTAACACACACTCTTTCCCACATTAATAGAATCACCCCAAAGGGCAACAGTGCATTAAAACTCGCTGAAGGGAAAGAGTCAGTTTGAATCATAAAAGACTGTCATGTGGGAGATGGATTAACAAGTCGAATTTCAGCTGGACCTCAAATATAGCTGTATTTTAGGACAGGTGACTTAGTATTTTAGGTTGTTCTTAAAATGAGATAATTTATGTGATATAGATTCCCACACATCAGCAGAAACGATGTCTAATTTTTAATTGCTCTATATTAAGCAGGCATTGCTTGACTTGGCTCCTTAATAAGCTTTTTGGAGTGGAGTTCATCACATTGTATTGTGAACATCAATTCCTTATGGAATTGTCCCTCTAATTCCCACTCCTAGAGACCCCGTAGGACAGGGTAGTAGTGCCCTGTGGGTTTCTGAGACTGTAACTCTTTATGGGAGCAGAAAGCCTCCTTTTTCTCCCGTGGGGCAGCTGACCTTGCAGTTAGCAGCCTAACGCAAACCCTCTGCCAGCGGCGTTCCTGCCATCTTCTCCAGGGAGGCTGAATGATCTGAGCAGGTGACATAGGCCACGGTATCACCTGCTGAGTTAACTGGGCCCAACTGATGGGCAGTTTAGAGAGGCTGATTCACTATGCAGCCAATGGCCAGTCATAAAGCAAACCCAGAGCTGAGCACTACCGTTTGATGACGACGTGTAGTTGTTGGAAGGTGCCCTCAAGTTAACTCCAACTCACAGTGCCCGTGTACACCGGAACAAAACACTGCTCAAGGAAGAATCCTGCAATACTACTGTCACATTTGCTTTCCTGTAGTGCTAATGATCATTATAAATATAAATTCTAGGCCTGGTGGCGTAGTGGTTATGGGGTGGTCTGTTAACCAGCTCAAAACCACCAGCTGCTCTGAGGGAGAAAGATGAGACTTTCAACTAATGGGAAAAGTTACAGACTCAGAAACCCACAGGGGCAGGTCTACCCTGTGCTATGGGATCGCTATGAATCAGCATTGACTCGATGGCAGTGAGTGAGTGAGTGATAGTAACACTTGGCATTAATTAAGCACAGACCCTGTGCCAGGTACTTTTGGAGGGGGCCACACATATTTTATTAGGCTACTATCACTATCCTTACTTTATGAATGAGGAAACTGAGATACAATAAAAGTTGCAGTGTATGATTGGACGCAATTTACTAAAAAATGAAATATGTTAGGTGCTTTGAAGTCCCATGTCATGAGAAGCTCCAGATCTACTGCAATAGCTACCACGGATGAAATATAATTCACACTGTGGGAGTCACTCTGTCCCCAATTCATTCTGTTACTGTCTGCTCTGCCCAACCTGCCCTTGACGTCAGTGATTTCAGCCGATAAGTTTATCATGCAGAGAGTGCTCCCAGACAAAGGACGAATGGGTTCAGAAGATAATTTGGAGAGTAACTGTTTAGAAAGCGCCCCCCGCCCAATTTTTATGGGCCTTGAGGAGAGGCATACATGTGGAAATCCTCTTAGGCCACCATTCGACTCCACAATTTGGTACCAACCATCTGAATTACAGACCGTTTATTTTGCTTTGTTTTAAAATCATTTGGTCACATGCCTTTAAGAAAGGGGCATGGTTTTGCCAAACCCGGCCCTACCAAACTATAGGTCAAATTATGAAAATGCTTTCTGTTAGCTCTGGAAGCAAAAAATAACAAAAACACAAAACCCAAGAGCCTGTTGAGGGATCAGAACCTGGATGAGTGAGCATAAATGAAGGCCACAGATTGTTTCCATCAGTTTCCATCCACGGTGGCCCCAAGATATACTGGAAGTAATTTCAGAAGATGAATCAAGGGCTTGCATCCTTTATCAGAAATAATTTCCATTTTCCAGTCAATGCATCTCTTATTTCTTCCACCATTAATTCTACCATGAGGTCTCAACTCTATCAGTAGGAAAATGGGAAGCAGCTCTTCCTAACCCAAAAGTTTTGAATTAATAACGGTTCTTTATCAAACCATTATACAGATTAATGCACCACAACTTGTGGGATGATTAACATGGCCCTCTGTTATGGGAATCAGCCGGCTGACCTGTAGCACTTAATTGCAAGAAGGTTCAATGTCAAGGAGCCCTACTTTTATCCATTAGCATTACTGTGGGGTGCTGTGTGTTCTAGAGGTTAAAAATCGGGCTATAAAAATGAACCAGTTTCCAATTATTGCCACAAAATGGTTCTCTCTCTCTAAGGAAAGCTGAGTCGTTAAAAGCACTTGATGCCCTTTTTTTGGGCTTGTCTCTCCATGCCTTTTAACAAAGGTTTTAATATTTACAAAGCTGCATAACTTGGTACAAGTAGACCCGGCTCGTCTCATCCCATGGCAATTGAAATGAGCAGGTGGTGATTCTGTTGTTTGTCAGCTGAGACCTGTTGGAAATAATCAGGCTGATTTCTGGAGAGAACCCAAGAATTACCTGAACACAGTCTTTTTCTAAAAAGTCTAATCCACCTGAGGGAGGCACCATCAGTGGCAGGATGGTCTTGCTCTAAAGGGGTTTCTTAAGTGGGTTCGAACTTCCAATCTTGAGGTTAGTAGCCAAGCACAGACTGGTAGCAAAGTGGTTAAGTGCTGGGCTGCCAGCCGTAAGGCCGACCTTGGAAACCCACCAGCTGCTCTCACCCGGGTTCACGGCTCAGAAGACACTCAGGGGCAGGTCAGCGCTCCATAGGGTGGTGCTATGAGTTGGAGTCAGCCAGATGGCAGTGGGTAGCCATCTAGCATCCTCCGGTGAAACATTACTACCCCTCCAATATCACAGGGGAATGGTTTTGTGGCTGTACCTAAATTCCTTGGCATGATTAGAGTGGTGTTCACGGAATCTTACACAGCCCCTCCCACCCACTAGAATGCCACAAAGAAGAGACATGGAAGCATAGGCCTAACCTTCAACTCACCCCTCCTTCTTAATGTGACGAAATTGAACTCAGATTCAGTGAAGTGGGGGGTGATGAATTGTAGTCCTGGAGAAGACAGCTGTCTGCCTGGGGAAGCCAATGCGCTCAGCTGTCAGGTCACAGAGATGCCTCCACGCAGACATGCGTGAAACCCAAGCTGCCTCATGCTAACACACTTAGGGGCCGCCAACCTTTGTCTCCTGCCCACGAGGCACTAGCCAGAGACAGAAGAATAAAAAATACCTAGAAAGTATAACTGGGGCTAGGAGTTGTGCCAACTAACCCAACATACGTGAAATCTCCTATTTCCACCAAATGGGGGCGGAGAAGGGGGCTCAGTTATTTGCTTTATGAAACAGCAGACTCTCCAGTATTTCAAATCAGGAGTCTCAGCCATGCAACCCTGGAGGTCTGTTGGAACATCGCTGGACCACAGGTTTCTCATCTAGATGAGAGACTGTCTACTGCACCCACCCCCCCCACACACACATTCTCACATACACACATGACTGTGTGCACAGCCAAAAAAAAAGCCGCCTCTCTGTGCATCAGACCACTGGGCTCCGTCCGGTTCCCATGGACTGATTTTTGAAAGGACAGTTCCAGGCCTTTCTTCCTGTTCTGTCTGAATTTGTAAGCTCTGCAGAAACATGCTCTGCACCCAGCTACACACAAGCCTCCAGGGGCAGACTATGCCTGCCACCCACCGCTGCATCACCGCCTAGTATTAATGAGGTCTAGCTTGAACTTCTGAGAAAACAAAATCACCCCACTCTATAGAACACACGGAGAGAAATCGCTTCTCAGGTATCCATGGAAAGGACAAATTAAAATGCGCACACTGTTGTAAGATTTGGAAATTCAGATCATACAATTGAGTCTGCTCTGTTCTCAGTACTCTGTTTCTTATTGGGCTCAACATTTTGAGATTGGTTTTCCTTCGTACTTAGATGCGTCTTTTTGACAAGGTAATGCATAAGGCCAATGTCTGCTCGTCAACAGAATCTGACAGAGCCACTCATAGGTCAAACTCTGGGGCAGATTGCAGTTTAGTATCTGCAGGCCCAACACAACCACTACTAAGCCATATGGCATCTGAACTTCCCCACAAGGTTTCCAAGCCTGTAGATCTTTATAGAAACAGACTGCCCCATCTTTCCCCCAGACAGATGCTGCTAGCTGATGACGCCTGACCTTTCCATTAACGCCACTTAACCACTGCACCACCAGCACTCTTTTTGAATGTTCTTAGGGGCCCTCCATCGATGAATAGGCCCTTGGAATTCCTATTGATGGAGCCTCTGCTGATGGGCCTTGTTACTTTCCATGGTCTTGCATCATGTTTTACCAGGGCCAAGAGGAGAGGATTAAGGCCAAGCGAGATTTGACAGTTTATTGCAGTTGAAAGTCTTTTAATTAAAGTAACAGTATCTTTTGGGGACCCTGTGGTTAACATGCCACTGATGGCAGAGCCATCCGACTAGCCAGCCACATGGCAAAGCCAATCCCTGGATTAGATCCTGAAAGCCCATCCCAGAGACGAGAAAGGGATTGAATCCGTTAAATCAATGCAGCAAAGTCGCAGCCAATAAAGACATGCTTACCTCATCTAGTTCCATTTCATCCGGACTCTCCCAGGGCTTGATGAATTTCCCACGTGATTTCTTCAAAGGCACAATGATTATGTAGTACCCTCTGCAGAAGAATGGACAGAGACATGCACAGGTGAGTTCAGCAGGAGAAGAACATGCACATTCCCCTCAATCTTCCCCTGCGTGCCCATGGAGACCGGAGGCCACTTACGGACCTGGAGGGACTTGTCAGTTTGTTACATCAATGACAAAAAACATCTGTTTGTTCTTTTTTTTAAAACACAACACAGGACAGCCTTTATGTGTGGCTCCAGTGACCTTTTACGGTAATAGCACCATGGCTGACGTCTCTGCTTTAAGTTTCAGAAAGGGAGCAGGCACCGTCAGTTAGGATCCTGGGGCTGGATACATACAAGGATTTCATAGCCTGCACACCGCCACCATACTTGACTGAACCAAGTATTCCTGATGACGTTAATTTAAAAGAGGAATTGCTGTTTTTTGAAGGAACATACACTGAACATTATTCTTGGCACATACAAATATCCTATCACTGCTGTAAATATAATTTATCTAAACCCAAAATGCTTTTCATTCGGAGAAAACATTTCTAACATCAAAATGATTCCTATTCTAACACATTATAGACAGTCCAACTTCAAAGGAACGTATCCCTCTCTATCCATCCAACTACAAAGCTTACTATGGGAATCAGTGGAGAAATCATGAAGTGGTTTCTAAAAGGGCCTTGCAAGTAGATCTTGCAATACAATCGTGTATCCACAAAAAGACAAAAACCGACCAAGTCCACCTAAAACATAAGCAATCTCTTACTGCCACCAGTAGATTCAGACTCATAGTGACCGTATAGGGCAGGGTTGACCTGCCCCTGTGGGTTTCTGAGATTGCAACTCTTTATGGGATTAGCAGGCCTCATCTTCCTCCGGCAGAGTAGCTGGTGGCTTTGAACTGCTAACCTTGCTGGTAGCAGCCCAATGGATAATCATTACACCATCAGGGTTCTTAAGCCATTGATTAAGAATTATTTGAAAAACAATACCCCCCTACCTCAAAAAAACAAATTTGGTGCCAACGAGTCGATTCTGACTTACTGAGTTATTCACAAGTATATGCAAGTTATTTGTAAACTTGTTGTGTGATTTCAATGTATTTTATAGCAGACCCATGTGTTGGCGGTCAAGTTTTCTGTCCATCTGATCTTTCATCATAGCTGTGAAAAGAGCCATGAAAACTGTGCATGACCGTCAACACGTTGCTCTGTTGTATATAAGGCCACTGTGAGTCAGAGATGACTGGGCAGTAATTACTAAGCAGGTACCGTGACTGTGAACGCCATGTGTACATAGACCACAAGCAATGTATAGTTAGGGTGAAATCTTATTCATCGCTTTCTACTCGAAGGAAGGAAGGCCTGGGGCTACACGTCTGAAAGTCAGCGCGTGAAAACTTTGGATGGGAATGGTCCGGTTCACAGCCAATCACGGGGATGGATCATAACCCGGCAACATTTTGCTCCTCCATGCAGGGGACTGCAGGAGGCTGTGTTCGACATGGACACCGCATTCTCACCTTCTCAAAGGCAGAAGGGAGAGAGCCAGATGCAGCGAGATTAAATGATCGCCCAGCCCACGCTAACAAAGATAACAAGAGGCCTCAACCCTGCATTTCTCTTGGCTTTCTTTCTCCATGGTTCATCCTGCTCTCTTTCCTTGAAATGACGCTCTGTGTACCCTAACACAGAGACCCTGCATTTTGCAGAGCTTGACTGTGGACATGAGAACATACACACACACACACACACACACACACACACACACACACACACACCACAATCGCTGAAGAAGACTGTCTTATGGGGGAAAGGAATGAGAGAAGGCGATACCAATCCGATGCCGCACTCTGTCGCAGAGAACAAAAGAACCCGATGGAAGCCTTCTTTCTATTTATCTCCAAGCCCCATTGGTTACTGGGTCATAACTTTCTGTGATAAGGAACTTTGTCTTCATGAACCAATTCTCAAGCTGAGCTGCCCAGTACAACCATCCCTGATGGCTGAGCGCCTGACCTGTGCTTAGTCTGAGTTGAGAGGTTCAGTGAAAACACACCTAGGTTTTGAAGTCTTGGTATGGAAAGAAAAAAATAAAAACCAACCAACTAAACTATCACACTCATCACTTTCTACGAGTTATGACATGCTGCAATGATACTATTTTGGGCAAAATGGGTTCAATGAAGTCTGCTGTTGAAATTAATTTCACCTGTTTACTTTTGCCTTTTCCCCTAAAACTACTGCTACTAGACAATTGATCCTTTCATGCGTGCCCTATATTTATTGACACTGCTTTAGAGCCTTGTGGCTAAAATATGGCCTTGGGAAATGTATTTGACTCAGAACGCAGAAAGGGCCACAACTATGCAGGGTGATCTGGACGGATCATCTCCCACCTCTGCCCGCCCGTTGTGCCTTCTGAACAATGAGAAGAACTGGCACCGGACTGTATGTTTTAGGGAAATAAATCAGTGGACACCACGGGACTGTGTGCCACACGATGCAGGCTGGGGGACATGCATCTGCACTGCCTGCCTCACTTACTGGCATGATTGCTATTCCCTGCAGCAACGTTGTCTTCCAACTCACGGTGACACAGCAACAGGAAAAGGGGGCTGGTTGTGCACTGGGCCACTGCATTCCTCAGGGCTTCTGCTGACTGAGCTGCAGCAGCAGCAGCAGCTCACTAGATCTCTCCTTCTTGTCCATCTTCGTCTGGAAGCTTGGCTGAAACTTGATCAGCCCAGAACAACAGGTAGACGCATGGCTGGGAGTTGTTTCAAGAGACCCTTTGGCTGAACCCGAATCCGGGTCTCCTGCATGGAAGTCCAGAATTCTCTCATTGAACCCACTGACCACTGCCAGAATCTACTTTTGGTCAAAGGACTTCGACTCCCCATGTGGAGTGCACAAGAACTTGGCAAACTTTCCTTTCATGCGAAACCGAGAATTCAAGTCACTGCAGACAGTGATGTCAAAACTCTTTCAAGGCGTGCTGAGCCACTATTCAGATGAGCAGAATTGTATGGCCGGCCATTGGTCCTTTACTACAAATAATCCTGATGATCAAGGAGGGCGAGGAGGAGGAGGAGGAAGTGCTGGAGGGGGTGAGAGAGCCCAGTATCTTTGATTTTAGGATCCAGAGGAAGCTTCCTCCTCTGCTTGCCCTCCCAGCCCCTGGCGGATTTGCCACACCAGGCCGTCATGTTTAATGGGCACGGCACCGGATGACGGACGCTGCCATGAGTGGATGCACTTGATAAACACACTTGCCAACGAACCTCTTGCATTTTGATATCAGCAGCGCCAAGTCAGGAGCGCTTCTCTTGCATGTCTGCAAAGTACTCCCCTTGGCCCCAGGAAGACTCTCGCAAATCAAGGTTAAGCTGATGAATTCTCTTAATTTTTCTCCTGCGGTGGAGCTGCCATCTTTGTTCTCCATACAAGAAGCCATTCTTTCTTCTGCGACACTCCCCCATGTATTCATTTTCCAGCTGAGATAAGAATTGGAAGGCCTCCCCCACAGCAATTAATTAACAGGGTGGCCTTAGACCCAGGATTTTTTCTCTCCATGACTTGCCAAAGGATTTAGCTCCGGCAGCGCCAGTGGGGCGTGCTGCAAAGCAGCTCTTTCACGTCCAAGGAAAGAAAGGCTTGGGGAAATTTGAACTCCAGGTCATAGAGCATCTTAACGATAATGCGTCAGCTGCCAGTGAGTCGCTGCCAATTCAAGGGGACCTCACGCAAAACACAACCCAGTGCACACTCTCCCTCCTCCCTGCTTGGTCTCCAACTTCACAACCCACTTGCTCTTTTAGGTGCTGCTACGCTGAATACCAGTCATGATTACAGGGTTGATGAAGGAAGTTCACAGGCTACGATACATGTGAGACGTGCTCAGGATTTAGTTGTTCTTCGGGACACCTTACAATCTTTTTTCAGGGTTGCTAACACATGCCTAAAGGGCATTCCACTTTGCTGTCTGCCACAGTGCAAACGCATTCACTTGAAGCTCCCTGATCAGCAAATGTAGCTTCCTGAATGAAGTGCCCAGAAGCACCCCATTCCAGTAAGCCGCATCCAAAGGGCACTCAGCTCTACTTCCTTGGATCTGCAAGTCCAGCTACCTGAACTGAGTGCCGACAGGCCTGAGTCCACAAGCCAGCCTCTAGCCCCAAAGCACGCACTTTACCTTCCCCGTGGCTGCAAAGTGCACCACTAGGCTCCAGGCTCAGGCTCCTAGCTCTGCTGCTCTTCCGGTGCCACAGCTGTCTTCTTGATCCAGGACGGTCACAGCACAGGGCTCTCGGGGTCCAGAGGGCGTGCTCTCCTCCTGGTTTTAATGTGAGAGCCCCTCTCCTGTTTCTCAGAAGGCTCCCTTCCCACCAGCAGGATGCCAATCCAAATTATGCCAGTTCACAATGACTCACCAAGGACGGATTCTCCTCACCTTCTTACCCAGAGCCACAGGAAAAGGATGTTTGCTGGGAGTTAGAGACATCGACCACAAGAGCCGCATGAAATCATTTGCTACCCTGGCTGGTCTTCACATGGCACACTCAACTTGCTGTCTGCTCCCAATGATGGCGCCCTCATGACGACATGTCCAAAGCTAGTGTGTTGCATAGTGTTCTGTGTGATGCGTATTTTCCTCAGCTAATTTTCTGAGTGAGATTAGCAGGGCTTCCCCCCCCCCCCCCTTCCACCCACCTTTTCTTCCTGGATTGTCTTCATCCAGAGGCTCCACTGTTAACATTGGGTGGCCCTGCTCGTTTGTACCTGATATCCCAGTAGTAGAGCTTCCAGCATCACCAGGACATGTAAGGCACCAGGGTACAAGGCGTGAGGTCTAGATCCACAATTTCTATTTTCTCAGGGACTGTGGTTTTTTAAGCACTCACATCTTCACTTTCACTGAAACCTACCTGTTCCCTGAGTATATTGCTTCCCTTCCAGACTCTCTCCCAAAGCAGGCTCACTGCCATCAAGTCAGTGCTGACTCACAGCAACCCACTGTGGATTTCCAACTGTAA